CCTGAGGGACATGTGAATAAGGAACGTTCTTATTTCTCTTTGGTACATACTTTAAAAAAACCCAACCTTTTAAATGTTCTTGCAGGGAAGGTTTGTACTTATTTTTCAGTAATAATTTCAAGTTACACCTAATGGTTTGTTAAATGATGGCTATGAATTGATTTTTCTTGAAAAAGAAGGTACTCAATAATGCTATAGAGATGTTTTTTAATATAACTGACAGTTCAAATAGTTTGTGTTTAGCTGCTCGGACACCAGTTCTGCAACATGTATAATTCCAAGCATGTAAATAGTCCTGTTGAAATCAGTGGGATTACTTGTATCTTTCCCCTCTCCCCCCATATGATAAAGGGCCAGAAAGAGCCATTTTGATCTAGTTTGACCACTACATAACAGACAATATCATTTTACTGTAACTTTGAGAGGTTTTCTTTTCAGGCATGTGCATACGTCTTTGCAGAAAACGGACTTTGATTTGTAATATGCTGCTGATCATTAGTTTTAAATTTAACATATTCATATATCAGTTTTAGTGATAATGCCGCAAAATAGATTTTGATATGGTAAACTTTTATTTATATGGGAAGGCTGATCTTTTTTTCCTAGGCCTTTGAAAATGGTGGCAGCAAATTGTGAGTGTAAAAGCAGGGAATTGTTTGAACAGGAAAAAGAGATTCCTACACTTAGCACTATTTTTTAAAGTTATATTAAGGACATTTAACACATGTAGATAGATGACTTTTTAGCATATATTGGAACCTAGAAAAGGAAAAGGAAAAGTAGATTCCAGGCTGGAAACATGCATACCCAGTTTCATCTTTGAACACGTTATATGGCTGACTTCCCTGAATATTCATTTTTTATTTTAAATTTAACCTTTTAAAATAAACTTGGACCAGTAGGGGGCTCTCCTGCCCCCAAAACCATGCTTTGGGTGCCTCCCCTGGGGGCCAGCCCCCTTCCTGGAACACACCTGCAAGCCTGGGGTAACCACTGCCACCACCTGGGCCTTGGTCTTTGTTAAGGCTCTGTGCAGCCTAGGGTGCACAGACCCTGTGGACCTTGGGAGTGCTTAACCCACTGTGGTACTTTGGGGTGCTTCCTTTTAGCCTGAAGCATTCAAAAGTAGCCTCCTACATGGGAGGAAAGTAAAAAGCCATGCCCACCTTAGCCAGCTGAGCAAAAGAGAGCTAAAAAGTCTTTCCTCACCCTTCTCAAGCACACCCAGCAAGGCGTGCTATAACAGATAGCTTTATTGATCAAAGAGGCCTGGGGCATGGGTATAAGACAGAGAAATATCAAAAGAAAAAAACAAAACACCTTGAGCAAAACAGAATAGGCTTGTTGGCCCTTTTGATACACATCTAGTTCACTTAATCCTAAATTATTGGCTAAATTGCAGGTAAGTTACTGACATGTTCATCCAGAGACCAATGGAGGTCTGGAGGCTTGTTGCTTGTTTCAGCGTCCCAAAATGACTGACTGCCTCCAAAATGGAGTGACCCCTTTTAAAACTTTTGTGACCTCATCACTACATCCCAACCAGAAACAGGGTCTACGTGATGCAGACCAATCATTTTAACAGTTGTTGGCATCCTCAGGTGGAGGTGGCAGAGTCATACAGGTATCTTGGTGGGAACTAGGACAAAGAATCTCTACAGCCCAGCCCAGCTCCCCTTAGGTGCCCAGGCTCGGTTACTAAAGCAATCAGGCAGTGTGAAGAGGAGACAGGGAGTTGGGCTGTCTACTTACAGAGGAGAGGCGGTCTGAGGATGATTTCTTCACATAAACAACATAAGCTGGAAATGTCTATGTATAGAGTGTCTGTCCTTTGCTTTTTCTTAACTACTTAATGCACGTGTTCTCAGCAGTTCACAATTTGCTTTTATTTTGCAGCAAGAAGGATGCCAGTGTAAAAGAAATACATTAATGTTCTACAGTTATTGTTCAAAAGGCTGAATCCTACAAAAGCAGTTGTGGGAAAGTTTGGGTTGATTACTACAGAATTGTATATTATTTTTATTAGGGCTGTTCTCAAAGAGATTTTCATATATTTTTTCCCCTATTATTTGGCAACTTGAAAAGTTTTACAGGAAACATGACTCTATAATGGAGTCAGTGACACGAGTGCAACTTCTTACTTTAAAATATGGCACTTTATTTCCCTATAATTAGAGAACAGGAAACATAAAGAGAAGGAATTCTGTAACTACCACAATTTCTGTTCACATGCTTAGCTCTTGTACATCTTGAGTTCCTTATCCATGACCTGTCTGGCACAAGCTCAGTATATGTGTTTCTTCTATCATTTACAGTGGTGGAAATTGAGAGCCATTCCTCCAGAGTCAATGGAGTTACAGAAGTCTGTGTAAGATGAGAGCTGCACCCAGAGATCAGGGGCAGGTTCTTAGATTTTGATTTGCAGAATCCTAAAGTAAAGGTGTCCAGAAGTAGGTCTGTTTATGTAAGCTGCATCAGATGTTCAGGCTATATAATATTTGGACTTCCATTTTTTTAAAGAAAACTTCTTTTGCTCCCGGTTGCAAAAGTAACTTCCAAATGGGAACTGAAAGTGAACTGTTGCTGTGATGTCTTCTCCAACAATCTTTCTCAGAGATGTGAACTACGCTGTTCTCTATTCATCTCAATTGCACACTAACTCCTATGGTATCATAAAGTCTTTGATGTATTTGCAGTTGGGATCTTTTATTTTGTCTTTGTGTTTTCATTGCCGTATGGACATAAGGGAGGACTGAGTACCATGCATATATCAGATAGGTGTTTGCCGTGGGTTGTGCTGATGGAGAAGAAGCTTAGTTACTTCTTTAGTTTCCATGTTGTTTGTGGGGTCAGTAAAGAGGCAGTAGTCAGCTTTCAGGAACAGATTAACTTTTTAAAGAACTAAAAGAGAAAGGTGAAACTGTGAGACAACTCTGTTCATAACTGCTGTGTGCCCCTGCTCCTGCCAAATGCCCGTTTTCTCCTGGCAGTCTTCTTACAAGCTTCCAGTATCCTTACAGTTCTGTGCGCTAAAAACTTTTCTGTATTACGATATACCTTAGAAATAAAAGGATGGAAGGATAGATGATGTCTGTTAGAAATACATATGGCCATATTAATACCATTCGCTCTGAGCTGAGTAACTGTACAGTGAGTCCACAGTTCTAATGATAAGATATCCTGGATCAGAACCCAGCCTCTGGCCCTCCCCGCTTTGCACTGTTCTAGTGCAGGGCAACTAGAGTTTTCCCTAATTTATGACAGTCCCCAGATAACATAAATCTTTTTCTACACTATCCATCCATACTTTCCTCCTAGAGTGTAGGGCACTGTGGGAGGGCCAGGGCAAAAAGGGGACATGGATGAAGTGCTTAACTTGCTTTGGAGGGTTCTGCTTCTCTGCAGGGGGACTCTTCTGATAGTGGCATAGGGCCAGCATAACAATTCAGATACCTGTCCTTTGTGCCAGGAGGTATTTTGGAAGAAGAGGGGGTGATCAAAGAGCCATTCATTGTACATGAAAGTCATATCATTATATCCCTAGCTGTTAGAACTGCTCTTTGGGACAGTAGGTAGCCAGCCATCTCCAATGAAAACTGGTGCAGTTTCTGGTTGCCCCTAGGATCAGAGCACTCTAAAAATACCTTAAAGCTGCTTCCCCTTTCTCATCCTTCTGGGTTATCCTGAGTGCAGTTCACTTGTCAACCAGGACTCTTTGCCTGATGTTTCTGTTCAGCAGTGGTTCTCAACCTTTCTAAACTCAAGCCACCCTTTGTTATACTCAAGGCGCCCCTCAGAAAATGCCAGCTCTTAGTTTTCACCCATTTTTTGACTAAGGAGAATAGAACTATTTTTTTTTAATTGCAAACAACTCAGAAAGACCATAACAGGTCAGGATGTTTTTAATGGTATGGATGCCTGTTTGAATTCTCGGGGTTTATCTTATGAATCATGTTTGCATATCAAACACTGCTAACCTTACATGGCATCCTGCAGCACCCCATGGCATCCTCAAGAACCACTGTTACTGAGAGGACAACATCACTTGGTTTCTTTCTCCCTTGCAGTACTGCATTTCAAATTCATGTCTAATGCACAATCTCGTATCATGCTCATGTCTTTTCTACCTTTACTGCTTCCTGGAGTCCATGTGTTTTGGTGTACCATACCACTCAGGTACTAGTAGCCTGCCAGGTGTACTTGAGCTGGGAGGCAAGCACCAAAAGCTGTTCAGACACCAAGCCATACAGGCATTAGCTGTAGCATGTCTCAGTAACAACACAGACGCATGGCTAAATGAAGGGCTATTTCACTAGGGTTGACAAAAAAGACAAGGCTGGAGAAGGTTGCAAATACCTGAAGATCTGGGGCTTAGGCACATGCAGTTTCTATATGGATGCTTCCCAATGTGCGACCTAGGCTTAGGACAGATTTTTGGCCTGTTTGATGTGGACCAATTAGATTTAAGGCTGTTCTGGACCAGTGTTTCTTATGCCTCTCCAGTCCGGTCTTTGCTAAGGGTGGTAGGAGCTTGCAAGTTTCCAGTGCAGCATTACATAGTGGTGTGTCTAGTAGGGTGCCATCTCTACTGGCTGGCTGCTTGTCCAATTTGTGCTGCAAACTACACATTTCACACAAATCTAAACCTGGCTGCTTTGTCCATTAGCCGTATACACATAGTTTCCCAGCTCCTGGGGCAGCCACTTTGTACAGAGTCCCCCACTGCTTCTGGCTGGCTTGTTAAATGGCTGCTGCTTGTTCAAATGCCAGAGTCCCACCCACTAGAGGTCTGGGAAAAGGCATGGTGCCTGTGTGTCACGGGAGAAGTTTGGGAATAGTAGCTTCATGTATTAATAATTCATCTCCCTGGGTTTCTCCCTGTGCATGGATTATAGAGCTGTTGGGTAGAAAATAATTAGTGTGAACGCACTTACAAAAAGTTAGTATCAAGAAAGATGTTGCAGCTTGTAATTATAACAGGTTTTTTGTTCTTTTCACAGATTATCACAGCTGGCTTGTCACCATTGTTCTTTGTCATGACTGTTAACATGCCAACAATTTGCTGGTAAGTACTTGCATGCGATTGTTATGGTTATTTTGAATTTCCTATTGACTTTGTGGGCAATATTAATTAGTTTGCCCAGGAATACGTTTTAAATCAGTGTTTCTCAACCTTTTAAGTAGCAAGTATGCCCTAACTTCTGAAAATTTTACTAAGTACACCAACACTCAAATTTCCAGGGGATTTTATATTTACAGCTTAATGTGTGCCACATGTTGGAAGAAGGGCTGTGTATATAAGGCCGTGATATGACAGATGCCTGATCTGGTGTGGGTAGGGTTGCCACCTTTTACACCAGGGGTGCACAACTCAAGTATGTACCTGGGCTAAAGGTGATGTTGGTCAAAGCTAGGAGGGCTGAACCCAGTGCTGCACAAAGCGTGGCATGCCAGATTATTACTGGGGAATTTAAAGTGCCATGCAGTGCACAGCTCTCCAATTTTTTTGCCATAGTTTTGAAAGAAGGATGGGGTGAGAAAGAGAGGAAAAGAGGGTGAGAGAAAGTATTGGGGTACCCGCATACCCCCCCGCCTGTGTCTTGCGTACCCCCAGGGATACGTGTACCACAGATTGAGAAACTGTGTTTTAAATGACTAGTCTATTTACTCTCAATAATATTTTGTGTATCTATGGACAGTGCCCAGCACAGCACAGACTGTGAATACAATTGATAAAATGGAATAGTAATACATATCTCCTTCCAAAGCAGTGCCTTGTATTTTGCCATATAGAGCCTGCTTCTCAAACTTGGAATTTCCTAAAGCAAAATTGTAAGTTTTTATTTGAGTAGTATCAGTATTTAGGTTTAGGCTCCTTGAGGCAGGGGCCAGCTTTCTGTTCTGTGTTTGGGGTCCTGATCCTCAGCTGAGGCCTCCAAGTGCAACTGTAACACATTATATGTTAATGATAATAGGTTTCTGAGTGCATGTTGGTGTATAGAATTATTGCTGAAAGTCTATATCCCTCCATTTTTTTGGAAAACTTCAGACTGGTCTCTTATTTTCTTTGTGCTTGGTGTTACAGGGATTCTGCTTTTCAGTGAATTACTGAGTTTTCTTTTCAAGATTTGATAATATAATATCAAGCTCAAAGTCATGTCATTGAGCTATATGTGCACTCACACCCTCAGATTTGCATATGCATCCAGTCAAATCAGGCTGCTGTGTATCTAGCAGCAGATTTGGTAACACATCTGGATTTAAGTCATGCCAGATGTGGGATATGTAGTTTTGGAAGAGTTCAGTGGGCTATAAATAGTGTATAGACTGTGTACAGGCTTTTTGCAAAGGGATATATTTCTTAAAATCTTTGAGATGTCTAGGACTATATTAGACATTCATTTTCATTTTCCCTTGACATTTTTGAACAACTGATCCTACTCGGCGTAAAATTACCGGAGAAGCTCCAGTTGGAGCTTCAACAAATGAAGGACTGAGATCTTTCAACAAATGAAGGACTGAGATCTTTTGTATATTGTACTTTGTAAACAGCTGCAAATGCGAGTCCTCTGTAACTGAAAAATAAGCATTCTACAATGTAATCCAGTTTGCCTTGTGCTTGACTTTTCTTCATTGTTTTATAGAATTTCCAAGTCAATGAACCACTCATTTCCTTCCTGTATATGGCTTTTCCTTAGTTATCTTTAGATATTTGTGCTTTAATCACAATGAGGCAGAAAAGGATTGTGAAATGTGACCTCTACAATTGAAAGGCAGTTAGTTTTAAAATGCTTTTTGGAACCAACATATGTCCATTACAGTTTCATTTATCGACCTTAAAAAACTAGAAGCAAAATATCTTTAATATAGTTCAAGGCTGATGTTTTCCATTCTATTCTCTTTTCCCAAATCATGTCTCATGTAGCTTTTTCTTTTTTTTTTAACATCTCATAGATTAAACAAAGTGCAGAGAGCAGACTTTGAAATCAAACTGGGCTCTTTTTGATAAGAAATGCCAAAATAAATCTTGTATGTTTTTCTAAAATTGCAGAAGGTCACTTCTGTGGCTTAGTATGTGTAACAGAGTACATCCTGCTGAAATGTTGCCAAAGGCTGAAAACTGCAACACACCCTGCCTAGCACTAAGCTAGTCTGACAATCTTCACTGTATTTTATACATATGTGCGAGCATAAAATACGCATGATTGTGTATGTAGCATATATACATTGACACACACAAGTGTATGCTAATTTATTTATATAGAAATATACATATAGAATGCACAATATAAGCACTATATTCCTCTACGCTCTTACATAATGTACATATATGAGTGTATAATGCATAAATAGCAAATACATTTCTTCAGAGAAGCTTTATTTGGGACCTTAGCCCAGGATTATGTTTAGATGATTGAGAATTCAAGCAGGTGATGATTTTTTTTGGCGCCCTTTATTGTTTGGAACAAGCAGTGTCAGGGATATCAGCAAAGCTCCTAGAATAGAGTTTGTTGTATTAGGGCAGCTGCAGCAAGCATTTTTTGGCACATGTCCAGTATTAATATTGGTTATTTCTTTGTGTGTTAGTTTTGTAGTGCTGGGATGGGCATAAGGTCCATCCCATCATAAACAAAATACAAAGCAGGACATGCATTTTCCTCCCTTGGTAGAGGCTAGATTGGTAAATGATATACACACAAGGGAATACAAGGTCAGCAGCTCAATTAGGGGGAATACAGCTACATTCTTGACTTTAAAGTGTAGGCTGAGATGTGCATGAGACCATATTAAATTACTGAGGATAAGGACTGGAATATTAGAACAGATAACCATATGAAGATGAGACCATAATAGAGCCTACCTTTATTTACATGTTAGCTTTCATTCCAAAGTATCTCAAAGGACTTTATGATGTATCTGGCTGTTGCTACTGTATGTATTGTAGATATCAAAGTACCCAGTCATTTTTTCCTGATCACTGAGGTACAGCTATGGATAGAATATGTTAAAGTTAGTGCAGTAGTTTAGGCAGGAGGTGCCCTCTTAAAGAGAAGTCATTTAGAATTTAATAGAAAATTGTTGCTTTTCTGTAGAATTTTTAGGCCAAGTTGTAGATCAGTGGTTCTTAACCACTGTAGATTCAGGGAACCCCCTCCATAACATTTCTGAATTGGTATTTCCCTGGTTGAGAGCGACTGCTGTACTGCTTCAGCTTGCCTCAGTGCTAGTCAGCCAGGGTGATACCTGAACTACCCTGCTTGCAGAGCCAGCCTTAAGGAACATGGGGCACAGTCTGGCAGGGAGGCAGAGCTGCCTGCATGGCCCGTTCTGGCTCCTCTTGAGCAATAGGCTAGGCTGGGCTGGTCACCACTCCTTCTGCCTCCGGCACTGCTCTATGTGTGTGTGTGTGTGTGTGTGTGTGGTGCCCCCCTGACCATGGTGCCATGTGCAGTTGCCAGTGTTGCCCACCCTTAAGGCTAGATCTGTCTGCATGCCTTGTGCACAGCCAGATAAACCTAAATCAGATAAGCCAATCCCACTGTGGCCTTTCCCAGTCTGGCAGCCCCTCCCTGCCTTGTGCTCCATCTGCCCCACATGCTTCTGTTGGCAGAGGCGGCAGGGGTGAGAAATTGGGTACTCCTGCCTTCTATAAATGTATCAGGTAACCCTGATGTAGGCAAGAGCACATGCTTGTGCCTCAATCCTTCCCAGTATGGCTATGCATGAAGTGCAGGGGGTAGTTCCACCTGGCTGTGGCAGCATGTGTGCTACAGCACCCCTGAAAGGGTCTCATGCCACCCTGGTCAAGAACTGCTCCTGTAGAGTTTTAAAGCAGGAATATGTTTCTCCATTAAGGTCTCTATTTAAAACTATTGAAAGTAAAAGTTGTTCTTTCTCTCAGAGTAACTTCTATGGGAGTCTATATTTTATAGGTTTTTTCCTTAGTGACTACAGTAAAGAATATGAATCTAAGTGTATATTAATAACTACAGCTGAAATTTTATAAATCTCATGGAATTTTTTTCAGAAAAAATATTAACCCAAGGATTCTGCATAAAGTGTCCCAAGATTTTAACAATTACAGGTGCCTAGGATCTTGGTTTTAAATCTCTTTAGAAACCCTGGACCACCATTCCTTTAGTTATAGTTCCACATCCAATAGTTCAGCATGTCAGAATTTAAAGTTGCCATCTCCCTGCCCACTAGCATCCAGAGCTTTATACTGTATAGCAGTATAACTATAGTAATATTATACAATTGTTATGTAATATTTACTCCTTTCAGGAATGGTAGGATTATGAGATTTATAAAACAGTTCAACGAAACTGAGATTTAAGCAAATATAATATTATTAAAGTCCAAAGAACCATGTCAGCTTTCCTTGCTTTGGGGGCGGAGGGGAATGCCCTCTTACTAACAAATTTACAGAAGTTTGATTTATTTATAAAGTTCAGTAAGCAGCTTTGCTGTTTCATAAACTAACTAAGCCATCAGGGTAAAATGAAAGGCCACTACATTTAGTATTCCCTGTTGTAAAGGAAGTGGAGAAGAGCCAGTGTTCCACCCTATATCTCTTCAATGTCATTTTAGAGGGGATTATTTGCCATTGCACAAGATGAATGGGCTGGTGATTGACATTTTAGAAATAAAAGGTGATTTCAATTCATCCAGCTAACTATGGAACCCTGCTTCCAGCACAAGACTAGGGTGGGAGAGGAAAGATTAAGGCTATTTTTGTGCTGCAAGAAGACGACGTTGAGGAACAAGTTGTACATACAACACTAAGACAGCTTTCTGCCAGCTGTTCTATAAGTGGAGAAACAGGTACATAGAAACTTCAAGTAGTTCATCAAATTCCACATAAACTGCCCAGAGCTGACATTTCTTCTAGCCTCTTCAGTTAGCGGTTGACTTGTTTCCCTGTGAGTCATGAGTTTACATCCCTTCCTATTTTTTATCCCTCAGTGGGTCCATTGTCAAGACAGAATACAGACAGAATTTGGCAAGGGGAATCATGTGTAACCAGCTGAGGTTCAACCCTTTCTCTCTTCCCTTTCCTTTCATTCATGTAGTGTATGCATGATATATCAATATTCTCCTGTAAACATCTCTTTTATGTAGTTGTGTCTATATATTTGCACGTACATGCTTCTGATGCTCAGTAAGATCTACAAGACAAGCTGTTTCTGCTTTTGGTCATTTCTTAGCAATCTGAATGAAAACGGCATTGTCCCCAAAGGAGAATGTTGGGGTTTTGTAATGTCAGCCTGAGGCAAAGGAATTCCTTCCTTTCTCTTGGTGCTGCACGGTTTGTCCTTCTATTAAGTGTGCATTCTTGGTCAGTGCTAAAATGTATACCTTACTTTGTTTACAGCCTTCTGCTTGGTGGACTTGGAGAAGCCTTGCTCATCTACAGTGAAAGGACAGGCACGTAAAAAAGGGGGAAAAAAAGAAAAGAAAGCAAGTATCTCTCTGTGGGAATAAGCCTGAAGTGCAGCTCAGAAATCTTGGAATGAAAAAAACTCAAGGTGCATCAGCAGGAATGAAAAAGTATGATTAAAAACAAGGTTCTTTGGGTAGATGTGATATCTTTTATTAGACCAACTAAACAGTTGGAAAAATTTCTCTTTTTCAAGCTTTTGGGAACAACCACTCCTTTTCAGGCAATAGGGAGAGTCTGTACAGGGAGTCTGTACAGATTCTTCTTATTGCCTGAAGAGGGGCGTTTGTGCCCGAACACTTGCAAAGAGAATTTTTTCCAACTGTTTACTTGGTCTAATAAAACGTATCACATCTACTCAAAGAACCTTGTCTGCCTGTGTCCTTAGACCAGCACAGCTACAAACAACAACCCTAAAGCATGATTAAAAACAAGGTTCCTTCATTCTTCTTTCTTCAGAGGGAAAATTATGCTATTAATAACACTGGTGAAGGAGCAGCTTAGTTGGTATGATGATTAAGAATCTGCCTCAAAGCACAAGACAAGAACTATTTATGATGGATGCTGTAACGGAAAAACTGCATTGTGTCTGTAGACTGCTCAGTGTGAGAACCTCTTTCAGTAGCACCTTCTCACGCAGGCAACTGAACTCTGCTATTCCTCAGAAACAGGAAAAGTCATTTTCTCTGCTGGACGCCCTGGCATTTTTGTCCAAGGCAGAGAGGAGGTTACACCCAACAATGAGAAAGTCTAAGCACTGCCATGAATCGAATAGCAGTGGGCATGTATTTTATTTCCATGTGTCCTGTTAAAGGCAAGCTACTATATACAGTTCTCCAGACATATCATCTGATTGGTAGAGGGCATTAGAGATTGGGGCCTCTGGAGATAACACCCCTCTGAAATTGTTGCTGACTGACAGACAAATCTTTGCTGAATGGGAAATTAAGAAATAAATTTTACCACCTATTGTACTGGCTCTGTATGTGTAATTTTTTCCTTCTCTTAGTCCAAGATTTCTCTTTAACTTTGTGAATTTTGGTCAGAGTAGTGTTTTTTTCCTGTATGATTTCCTAACAGCTGGTTGTTTCTAAATTAAAACAGGAGGGAGCAGAGATTTTAAATCTTGAAAGAATATCATGAGAAATGGAAAGAAATTTATTCCAAAAAGCTTGTAAATAATTCCGTTCCATTAAGCCTGTTAGAATTGATTCCATGTTTATGGATGTAAGATGAACTTTCCCAAAGCTTCAGTGGGTCTGCTGCTTCCAAACTGCTGAGATCCAATGGAACATGTACTTCTTTAACTTTAGGTACTTTGGAAATTCCCACCTGTAGTTACTAAAAGAGCATTTCCATGTGCAAAGCTTATATTAAAGAACAGATTATACTTACTAATTACAGGCTCACATCAAAAGCTTGGAATTGTGGAAAATGGTTAAGAAAAGCAAAAGGACACGAAGGTCCCTGTGGCCAACAAGTTAATGAGAATAGTAAGGAAGTATTGTGATTCTGAAGCATATCAGGATCAAAAAGAATCCTAACAATGGCATTTGTACATTATGAGATAGACATGGCAAAATTGTCAGTAATAATGCAGAAAGAGCAAAAGTGTTGATTATTTCTTTTCTATATTTGGGGAAAATGCTAGATGAGGTAATCATATCATATGATTAAATGACAATTAAATGCTTTCCATCTCAAACGTTATTACAGAGAATATTGTTTAGCAGAAAGTAATACTGGACTTCTTTAAATCCAGAGACCAGCTGATGAGTGTTTGGGGCTGATTTTTTTTTTTTTCAGAAAGCCTTGGCACACTGAAAAGGTTGTGAAGAAAAGCTAATGTTCCAATATTTTAAAAGGGTAATCAGAATGACCTGGGTAATTCTAGATCTATCGTCTTAATATTAATCTTGAGCAAAATACTGGAATGGTTTACAGGGACTTGATTAATAATTAAGGACAGTGGCATAATTAGGGTAGGTGACCAGGGCAACTGCCCTGGGCACTGACTTGGGGCGGGGTGAGGAGGGGCAGGTTGAAAAAATGATTGCATGATTGCAATCACAGTGGCAAAAACTGGAAGTCACCACTGCTCCTGTGCTCCAGGTGCCCAGCTGCATTGCTATGCTGCTGCTTAAGGAGGATAATATTACTAATACTAATATAACTAATGCTAATTAGAGTGGCTCTGTGAACAGTGGGTCTTATCAAACTAACAATATCTTACTTTGGATGATTTTGCAAGTTTGGCTGATGAATATAATAGTGTTGATGTGACATGCTTAATATTCCTTAAGGCAGTTGACTTGGTATTATATACCATTTGATTAAGAAACAGAAATGGATACAAGATCAACAAGACATAAACTAAATGGATTAAAAACTGACCGGTATGTTTCAAAATGCATCCATAAGAAGGCAAATCACTACATGGGTGTGTGTCTGCTTGTGCAATGATTAATTTGTGGGCCTATGTCATTTAATATTTTTATTAGTGTCCTTTTTAGAAATTCCTTATGGAGAAAGTCTGCAGAGTTGAAGATTGGGTAGGTAGGACATGTGTGTGATGCGGAGTGATCTGTTTGCCATGGTAAGATGGTTTTAAGCAAACACAAGTATGAATACAGCCAAATATAAAACCATCCATCTAAGAATGTAGGTCACAATACAGGCATGGGGTCTGTTTTGGGAAGCGGTGAAATTCTGAAATTCTGACTTGCGGGCATCATCATAAATAATCAGAGATAATCAGCTGAACCTATTAAGTTCCCAGTGGAACGCTGTGGCCAAAAGAGCTAATCTGATGCTTGGATCTGTACATAGGAGAAGATAGAGTAAGAGTATGGAGATGATATTACCTTTGTGTTTGGCCTTGCTTTAACTGTTGTTGGAATGCTGTGTCCAGTTCTGGTGTCCACAATTAAAAAAGAATAGCGAAAGGGTTCAGGGAAGTGACACAAGAACTATTAGAAGGTTGGAAAACTTGCCTTATAGTGAGAGGCACCAAGGTTTCAGTCTATTAAGTTTATCAAAGAGAAGGTAAGGGGTAACTTGGCTGTAGTATATGGCACTTAGAGGGAACATAAATGGGTTAATAGATGAAGGTATGATTAAATCCAATGGCTGGGGTCTGAAGCCAGACAAATTCAGACTCAAAATAGGATGTATTCTTTTAACAACAAGCGTAAGTAACTTTTGTAAGAACATGCCAAGGATTGTGGTGGATTTTCTATCACCAGGATTGGATGTTTTTTAGTAACAGATGTACTGAGGTTCGAACTAGAGTTAATTCAGGGAAGTCCAGTGGCCCATGTTATGTAGGGGTGAGGCTAAGGTTATCATGACGATCCTTCCTAGCCTTGTAATCTCTGAATCTAGAGACAATGCTGTGAGGTACAGACTGCACTGAAAAGGGGCATGCTCTTGCCTCCAACATGGGTCAGCTCTGCTAGGCAGTGTTGCAGGCCATAGAACCTAAGCCGTCTCTCCTTCCTGCTCCGTTTGCAATATTAAGGGGTCTATAGGAAATAGTTTCTGCATAGAAGCATGGCACAAGCACTGCAGCTATGGCTGGAGCCAGTGGTGTGGGAGAAGCTCCTTATACGCATTTCCTTTTGTGCCGTTCTCAAGGGCTAGGGACAGACATTACACATAAACCGGTTTAAGTGATCAGAAATTGGTTTAAACCTATACCAGAACAGACATTCAGTGCACATAAACCATTTTGCAAATGGCTGAAACCGGTTTGAGATAAACCTGGTTGAATGTAGTACCAGACTTAACTGATTTGGCTCAAACTGGTTTATGCATTATCTGTCCCAGACCCCTTCCTGATTTAAGTTAAACCAGGCTGCTCCAGCATCCCAGCATGCTCTCTGGGCTGGGTGCGGCTCTCGGCTTTCTGCTCCAGAGAGCTGGGCTGGAGCTCTGCTCTCTAGTCGGAGCAGGGGTGGGGCGTTGCCAGACACTGGCCTGCCATGGCCCCTGAGGCAAATTCCTCCCTCCATCCCCTCTTCCCCCATCCCCCAGGCATATTCTGCAGACCGCAGCTGAGGTTTGCCAGCCCCAGCCGCACCTCCACAGCTTGCTTGCAGCCAGGCACGGAGGGAGTTTATTCCTCCTTCTGGCCCCTCTCTCCCCACAGGGACCACCAGGGTTTGGCCCGGCTTGCCTGCATCCAGGCAGGGAGCAGGTTAATACCTTTGTCTGTCCCTTCTCAGCGGAGAGCTACATTTACATTATAAAACAGAACTTGTAAAAGGTGGGAATGCCTGAACAAAGCCTTTCTGAATGCCTGGCTGTAAGGAGACACAGGATTATGTAAAACTTATGCAAGGGTTTCTCTTGTCTTCCTGATTTACATTTTAAGTTAGACTAAGTTGTGTATGCTGTATTTTACTGGGCTGTATCTTAGTTTAGGCAAAGATTTTTGGTAGTTCCCTGTTGTATGCTTTGCAAATTGCTGTGTTCAATACATGCTTGCTTCAGATCAAGGACTTTTCCCCCATCCCCACTCCTCAGTCTGGCAGCAGGTTCTCCTCACCCCCAGGCTGGTGCCTGGCATCCCGTGTGGCATGCTGGCCCTGGCTGGTGCCTGGCCACACCCTCTCTGCTCCAGCTGGGAGGGGTGAGAGCCTTGGAGGGCATCTCTCTCCCTTCCCCTTTGGCAGTGGCTGGCAGGCGTGCTCTAGCGCGCCCCAGCCTCTGGCTTGAGCCACTGCAGGCAAGTGGTTGCATTTCTTGATTTAACAGAAAATGCCTGTCCAGTTGTTAATCAGTTTTAGCTGCACAGCTTAGACTAACCTGCAAAGATTGAATCAATTCAGGCTTGAGATTAAATCAATGTCTGTCCCTAACCAAGGAGCTCAGTATTTTCCTTACCTGCATTATCCATAATAATCTCATGATTATAGAAATGCAAGAGGGGATCATCTTGATTAACAGAGACCTATCAAGAACCACCACAAAACTTATTCCCTTGTTTGGCAATTTTAGCAGAAAAGCCAAGGACTTAACTGGCCCCTCACAGATGTGCTCCTTGTTGATTCTCTCCAAGATCTTCCCGAGCACCGAGGTGAGACTTACAGGCCTATAGTTACCTGGGTCCTCCCTCCTTCCTTTCTTAAAAAATTGGGACCACATTAGCCCGTTTCCAATCCCCTGGCACCTGGCCAGATGACCATGAATGCTCATACAGCTGGGCCAAGGGCTCTACAATGACCCCTGCCAGCTCCCTCAACACCCTC